TTGAACTTAAGATGTTGAAGAAAAAATTTTAAAATTTAACCATTAGTAATTTAGAAAGGTGAAACATAAAAATATGAATTTTTAGAGTAAATTTGATTCCCCACTACATAATAAAAGATATAATACCTTATCTTCTCATAAATCTCATCCCGTTTATCCCAAATTTTGGACCCAAGATCTTTAAATAAAGTCTGTAGCTTTGATTAACCGCTTAAGGCTTAGTTTAATATTGCTAATGTGATTTGAAAAAACTTGGTTAGGAAAAAAATGCATTTGAAAGGTGCTATGAAAATTTATAGTTTAGGATTTTTGAGTGATTAGTATTGTTGTGCAAAATTAAAATATCTAAAAAGGACATAATGTCGGAAAGAAAAAAAATTGCTATTTTGTTAAAAATAAATACTTGAGTGGGTATTTAATCATTTTGTTTCTAAACTATAAATTTCAAATTACAACTATATCTCCCAATTACCTTTTACGATTGACACACTTTTAACGATTGAAAATGTGTTTTTAACTCAAATTATATCGTGTTTAACTTTGTTTTTGCATTAAAAACTGCGTTTTGAAATCCCAAAAGCAATACTAAACGAGGCCTAAGCGTCTTCTTTCGATAGCATGGAAGTAAGTTGGTATTAAAAATATGTTTTTGTCATAACGTATAAATTTATAGACCTATAACTAGACTTAACGAGAGAAATCATCACTAATATTAAACGAGGCCTAAGCATCTTCTTTTGATAGCATGGAAGTAGGATGGTATTAAAAATATGTTTTTGTCATAACGTATAAATTTATAGACCTATAACTAGACTTAACGAGAGAAATCATCACTTATGTTTTTTATTTAGATGTGATTGACTACTTATTAGATTTATGTTTACAAAACCAAAATTAAGTTCGAGAGTACGGTTATGTGTAAAAAAGATTATAATATTTTCACATCGCCCACCTATAGGATGGTACTAGCTTGATTTTATGTTATCGGAAAGCCTAAAAAAACTTTCAAGTAATTCAATATTGGAAATTATTCATAAATTACTCTAATATATTGGTAATAATTCAAAAACATCCCCTCACCTCATAAGTATTTAAGAAAATGATTTGTTATGTTTTGAAGAGATTTCATCGTCAAATTCATTTAATTTTTGTAAAAAACTTTTACTTGTGATAATTGACATTTTTGTGATAACCTTGATATTGAAAATCTTTTTTAAATTTTCTAATATGTTAGTAAAATTTTAAAAAAATTTCTCACATAAAAATTTACATAGAGATTGTTATTACATCATAAAAAATTCAAAATCTAACTTTGTAAAAATGCTTTTTATTTTCAGAAAATATTCTTCAATATATTGGTAAGATTTTCTGCTAGAAATTATCCTCTAATATGTTAATAAGATTTTATAGAAATTATTTCTTTTCTAAAAATTAATTTTTATTTAAAAATCATAAAAATTTTCAATATGTTGGTAAGGCTTTATTAAAAACTATTTTTTTCTTGAAATTTATTTTTTATAAAAAAATTAATAAGATTCTCCAATATGTTGGTAAAATCTTATTTTAAAAATTAAATTGGCTTCCAATATATTGATAAGGCTTTTTATTTTATTAAAATAATTTATTAAAAATTTATTAAAAATTTATTAAAAATTTAAATCTTTCAATATGTTGATAAGATTCATTGTTATTTGAAAAAAATATTTTTTTAACAATTTGAATCCTCCAATGTGTTGATAAGATTCTTTTTATTTTATTTAAAAATTTTTTTAAAAAAAATATTTATAGATAAATGAATAACAAATAAATAAAAAACCAATAAATAAGGTGAGATTCTTTTTATTTTATTTAAATTTTTTTTAAAAAATATATTTATAGATAAATGAATAACAAATAAATAAAGAACCAATAAATAAAATAATAAAAAATAGATCGAAAACAACTAATCAAATAAATAATTAATTAAACATAAATAAAATAAAATAAATGAGAAAAACAAAAAAAGTACCAAGAAAATAGCTTGGCTTAGGCAGCTGAAGAATAACGGCTCAAGGCAAAAAAGAACAACACGGCTTACGATTCACGGTTCAAAGCTCAGACTCGGCTCAGCTGAAGCTAAGAGATGTAAGCGAGTCGTGCGTTGCGGGTCGGGTTGGTGCATGGCTCTCGAGGGTTGATGTGCGGATCTTCAAGGATTTTTAAATGATCAAAATGACGTCGTTTTCTTAAACAATAAAGCCCAATTTTCTTCTTTTTCTCATGTTTTTCCTACCCACACTCTCTCTTTCCTTTCTTTACTCTATCTCTCTCTCTAGCTTTAAAATTCTCTGAACACCAGCCGAAAACCCCGACAAAACCTAGATTATGATGAAAAAATGTGGATTCTAGCCAAATGTTGGTGGAAAACTCAAACTTGGTCATCAGAAAGTTCAAGAAACCCAGAAACGAAAAAACAAAAAAACTAAATTTATCAATTTTTTTCCAAATCTCTTTCTCAATCTTCTAAAAATTTCTAGCCACACCAATTCTAATTTCCTCAATTCTGAATCCCTAAAAATTTATTTTCTACCAGAAATTTTTTCTAAAAAAAAGGGGTCTTGTGCGCGTACTTTCTCTCTTTCTCTTTTTTTGCTGCATATATTTTCTGCCAAATCGTGTTTTTTTTTTTGGTTGATTATGGGTTTATATTTATAGGATTCAAATTATAAGAGCTCTAAATAAAAAAGAGTTTTAATTTCACTTCAATTCCAATTTCAAACTATAATTTTAACCCAAATTTTATAATCTCAAAAGAAATAGTCCCAAATAAACTCAACCAGCTTAAGCTTTTCTGATTTTTCTTTTTTCATTTTTTTTACAATTAAAAAAAACAAATAATAAATCAAAAAATTAATCCCAGAGAGAATGGGATGCTTACAGTTTTTTTTTTTAATGATGAACAAACAAAAGAAAAAAATGACAATCATATAAAGCCAATAAAAGTTCACATGAAAAAAAAAAAACAAATAAAATTATTCAAAAAAATATGGCCAAACGGCTCAATTCTCTGCAGGCCCTACAGTTATTTTGCCGTGTTGAATTCGTGTTTGAAAGATTGGTGAAGTTTTAACTTTTTTTTTTTCTTTGTCCAAGCAAATAATCAAACAAACATGTACCAGAAAATGAGCGTCTGAATACAAACAAGCTGATATCGGACAAAAATTAGACGTATCATAGAGATAAGATTGAGATGGGAGTCTTTCACATCTTTTACTTCAATTATTTTTTGTAATGAAAACAAAAAAAAAATGTAGATCGATATTTCTCATCGATATAGATTGACTGAATTCATTTTCCTTTTATTTTTCTATTTATTCATCATTTCGTCATTCACTTTATGTGAAGTGAAGTCTATTCCAATGCCGTATACGTGAATAATGTCAAATTGAATGTATCAAAAAATCTCAATCTAAATTTTTTATCAGTAATAAAAAAATTTTAGATTTAAAACCGTAATGATCTCTCATTGACGTTTCGTAATGTTATAAATTCAAAAAAAAAAAAAAAACTGTAGGTTTACGTCTTTGACTCAAAGATTATTATAATTAAATCTTAAAAATGGACGATTGTGGTGAAATGAATAGGAAAGGCGAAGCAGAAACTTCTAAAGGGATATATCAGCATCATCGATGTGAGACTTTGAGAAGTAGTGGTTGGTCAAAGCTGCCATCCTAGAAGAATTTCTAATCAAATTTTTTGATGATTTGGTCTTTAGGACCCATTCAATTGCTATTTCTCTTACTGCTATGAAAACTTCCTTGTTTGTGCAGCTGCTTCCTCTAAAAACACTTGATTTTTAACACGGTTATCCCTTTTGGTAACGAAAAACGATCACAAAATTATAAATGAAAAAAAAAATCCATGAAATATAAGTAGGAAAGTCACAAACTACAAGGGGTGTTTGTGAAGTTTTCCCAAAAATAAATCAATAGTTTAATTTTGCTTTAAAAGCAAATTGGTACAATATAATTTTTGTTTTGGGATTTTTTTTTTTGAGACGATTGATGTTATTGCTTGAATTACTGTTTCTAAATTGTGAAAGAAAAAGGAAATTTGGGTAGTAGAGTTTATATTATAATTTGGATAAAAAAATATAACTTAGACTCAAATTCAAAATCTTACATTTTCTATTTTTTTAAAATAGATAATTATATTTAAATCTTTAGCATGATATAATAAAAATAAAATTAGAGAAATAAGCATTTTTTAAAATTATATTATATATGCTTCAAAAATGAAATATATAACTGCAATAATTATTAAGATAATTAAGATTTTTTTTTTTGGCCAAAAAGATAATTAAGACTATAAGAAGTATAATAAGTAATTAATTATCCACCATGAAAAGAAAAAAAAAATTTAACTAATGTCTACTAATTAATTTGAGTATAATTAGCAAATTGGAAATCAATATGAAATTAGCTTTGCTATATATAATTATAAACAAGTGAATTATGATACCAATTAAAAATAAATAATCAATAATAAAAATAAAAATAATGACATCATATAAATAGAATTTTTTGGTGCTTAATTTTCCAACAATACATCTTCATTATTCTCACTCTTCACTATTTAATTCAATTATTTCATTACTATTTTGTATTTATTTAATTTATTTTAAGTAATAAAAAAATCTTGAACCAAATTTATCTTTCCTATGATGTAATGTTTAGTCTTCCCATCATTCCTTTCTTGTAAATTAATTCAACAAGTTATTATCTTTTTAAGTAATAAAATTTGAAGCCAATTTCTTACTTTTCAAGGAATACTAAATCCATCCGAAATCAACCCCAAAATCACATCAATTTTACAATAAAAATATATATTAAAAAACTTTCGATTTAACTCAATTAATTTATTTAATCATATTTAAAAAATAATATTTATTTTGATAACTCATTCTCTTTTTTCCAAACTATTCCTCTCCGTTAAAAATATATATATATATATATAAATATATATAAATAGACACAACTTAGATAAAAGAATTCTTGTGATAATTCCCCCTCCAACTCAATTAACAATTTGTTTATTAGATTTTGAGAGATTGAAACCCATGAATCCCAAGTGGGGTAGCTAAAATCCCATTTATATTATATAAATAACTTAGACTTTGATCACAAAATTGTCTCAAACCCATCAAAATTCAGCTTTGTTTGTATATATATATTTTTTATCACATCACTTTCCAATACGCTTTCTCTTCCCTTAGTTTTTGGTAACTAAGCTGAGCCATAACTTTCTGCAATTCCTAGTCCAACTTCGACTAAGACAAAATGGTTTGTTCTGATTTTCTTCTTCCCTCCCTATCTTTTCTTCTTCTTTTTTTATATGATCAGACATCAGTTTCATGTTGTGTTAATGGATTGTGATTATTGTGTTTGGTTTTTTAGGATCTTGAAAATGGAACTGTTCGATATGATGAGGTTAGTGTTCATACAATTTTTTTTATCAGTTTTTTCAATCCGTTTATTATGTTTTTATTCACTGAACTGTTTTTCTTTTTTTTTTAATCTTCCAGGAATATATCATGAATTCTCGAGGGTTAAAGCTTTTCACATGTAAATGGATTCCAGTGAATAAAGAACCAAAAGGTTTAATCTTCATCTGCCATGGCTATGCCATGGAATGCAGCATCACCATGAACAGTAAGCATATTTCAACATCCTGTTCTATATTTTTCCTCTATATATAAGCAGATAATAATAAAAAAAAAACACAGAGAAAAATTGAATATCTGGATTCTGATGTATGTGATTCTGATTAATTCAGGCACTGCAATTCGGCTGGTGAAAGCAGGATTTGCAGTTTATGGAATTGATTATGAAGGCCATGGAAAATCGTCAGGGCTGCAAGGCTATATCTCAAGTTTTGACAATGTTGTTGATGATTGCTCCAATTTTTTCACACAAATATGTGGTAAATATTAAATTTTTTCTTTTTAATTACTACCATTTTTATTTCCATAATATGTCAATATGACAGAAGAGTTAAAACTCAAATCCTTCACCTTCCAATTATGGAATTTCAATCCTATTTTTCCAATTATGACTTATTTTCTTGTTTTCTCAATGGAATTTTCAGAGAAAAAAGAGAACAAAAAGAAGATGAGATTTTTGTTAGGGGAATCCATGGGTGGAGCAGTGCTGCTACTGGTAAACAGAAGAAAGCCAGACTATTGGGATGGGGCAGTCCTGGTTGCACCTATGTGTAAGGTAAGGTGCCTTTCTTTTATCTTTTTGCGTTCTTTAAAGCCTGGTTTTTGTCCTATTTCACTCCCTTTAATGTGGGAACCACATTTGGTAACTAGCCTTTTACATTACGCACGCATGTAGATTTGAATAAAATTTTTAATAACCTTTTTGTAAAGGACAAAGAAAATTCATTTAAGTATTAAGTTTAAATTTAATAATTTAAAATATAATATAATAACACAATATAAATATGATAAAAAAATAAATTTTAATCATAATTATATATAAATTTAATAAAATCTAAAAATATATAGTTTAAAATTTTATGTTAATATAAATTATAATTCGTAAATTTAAAAAAAAATACGATATAAATATTTAAATTTTAATGTAATATAAACGTACGATTCGTCAATGTAATAAGTTTCAATTGTGACTTTTTTTTTTTCTTTTCAGAAAAGTCAAGATGCCAGGGTTGTAAAAATGGAGCAGATAGCCTTTAAAAATGTCAATTTCCATTATTACTATTATTATATTATTATTTTCTTTACTGTTTATGTACAGTGAGCTCTTTTGTTTTGAAAATTCAATCCTAGAACTACAATAAAGTCTCCCCAATGGTTTTCTTGAGCCCCAATTTAGGAATTTGGAAGATAAGATTTCATTAACTACTGGAATTCTTAATTCTTAGGTACATTTAGTGAAGGTAATTACATTTTTGTGCTTGAATAGAAAAAAAAAAAGTGATTTAATTGAAATGAAATCTGAGGAGAAAAAGATCAAAGTCCTTATCCATCTAGCGGCAGTTGTTGTAAAGTGACCTTACTTTGCCATGTATTAATGGCTGCTGACTTTCAAGTTGGGCCATTACTTTACAATGTCAAGTCTTACCTCACATAATTAACATGAATTATTCAGCCAATTACATAATTTAATTATGAGTTTGATTTTGATATCTGATAATGAAATTTTTTAATTTTATAAGTAGGATTAAGAAACGGATACATGTATTATTTTATTTTTAATTTTACATTCTTCTAGATGGGTTTTATTTAATTTTCTCAAATTTGAAATCCTTGGACAGATTGTTTATATTAATAGAGCAAAAGTTATGGCTTTACTTGCAGCTTTGAACAGCTGTTATAATGGAATAAATTATCTTAGGTACTTTGATTATTGCACTGATTTTTGCTTAAAATTTTGGCAATTATCATGTTCTATATCCAATCCTGATTTGAGTCTGACCAAAAATAATTAAAAAAAAATTATCTGAAGAGATTCTTAATCTGGATCTGATCCAGATTGGTTCAAACTATAGGGATATTAACATTATTGTTATTAATTTATCCACAGATTGCAGATGAAATGAAACCACATCCACTTGTTATTACTGTTTTGGAAAAGCTTTGCAAATTTATTCCAGAATGGAGAATAATTCCAGTTCAAGATGTCATTGATGCTGCTTTTAAACAGCCTGAGATTAGAGCACAGGTATTTTTTCTACAAAAATTTGAATTTTTAATTTAAGATTCTAGCTTGAAACTTTCAAATCAAAATTTCAAAGATATATCTTAAAAATGATTGTCGCGATTTTATTTTATTTTTTGTTTAGAAATTGAAATATATATATGTTTGTTAATGTCAATAATTTAATTAATTTACAGGTTAGAGCAAACCCATATTGCTACAAAGGACGTCCTCGTTTGAACACAGGCAATGAACTTCTAAAGACCAGCTTGGAGCTTGAACAAAGACTTAATGAGGTTTGTTCATTATGACAAACAAATGAACAAAAATATCAATAGGGAGTCTGTTCATAAAATCGTTCGGATAGGGTTCAGGCAAAATTTTAAAAAATATAAATTAAAATTTAATTCAATTGATTTTCATAAATATTTTTAAGAAGTGATATTCAATAAATTTAAATTTTAAATTTAATATTTATAAATTTTTTTCTACGTTAACCTACGACTTCTTTTGTATACTAAAAATTGAAAATATATTAAACCATCAAATTTTTACCCAAAAAAAAATCAAATAAACAAGAATTAACTCAATCTTTTTATTTATTTATGTTTTTTATCAGGTTTCATTACCATTTCTAGTTCTCCACGGAGATGATGACAAAGTGACAGATAAAGCTGTTAGCCAACAACTCTATGATGTGGCAGCAAGTTCAGACAAGACATTCAAGCTGTATCCTGGAATGTGGCATGGCCTGCTATATGGGGAAACACCAGAAAACATTGAGATTGTGTTTGCAGATATCATCAACTGGTTAAACCAGAGAACTAAATCCGGAAATTCGAGGTTGGAGAGGGAATTGAAGCATCAAAATGATGAGCTGTTATATTCAAAAGAGAAGGAACAGATCAGTGATTAGGCACTCTCAAATACTACAATTAGCTGATGTAAATTGTACATATGGAATAAAAATTAGTGCCATATTTCTATAGACAGTGTTGATGTTGGCCTGAGATTATATATATATATATATATATATATATTTATACAAGCTTGGATGTGTTTAAATTGAAAAAAAAAAAAAGTCTGTTACAAATTGTTGCAATTAATTTTTTTTTATATAAGAGATTGCATTTTGAAAAAAAAATTACAAATATTGAAATTCAAATTTTAAATTTATCAAATAACATTTTTTTAAAAGTGATTTTATTTAATGGAATTACAGATATTGATATTCGAATTCTAAATTTCTTAGATGTTATTTTGTGAAAGTGATTTCATGTATTAATTGAACTAAACTTTAGGATCAATTTATATCATTTCTTTATTGAGTTATTTACTTCAAAAATTATCTATTTTTAATGTGAAATATGTTAAAGAAATTGAATTATAAAATGTAATTTAAATTTCAAACTTAATGACAAACAAATTTAATTTATAGCATTTTCATTAATTTGGAATATGAATTGTCAAATTTTAGCTATTCCAAATTCAACTTTCTAGAAATCCAAAGACCCAAACAAACAAACAAACAATCAAACAAATGGAGGTTCAAATAACTTGACTGGTGACTGTTATTTGGCAATTCCCTCATTTGGATGGTCAGGCATATACAATTAGACTAAGATTTTATTTAGATAGATGATGAGACTGATTTCAGTAAGATTAAAAATAATAATAAAAATTATTATAATTATAATTTTAAAAAAAAATTTAATAAAAAATTTATACGAAATAAATCTTATTAAAAAAACATTTGGATTCATCTAGTGATATAATGAACTCAATCATACAATACCAAAAATACAATGAAATCCAAACCTAGGTTAATTGTGGAAATTGGAGTTAATGACTAGGTTACAACTAATGCTCCAGAACAGCCAATTGGAGAACTTTTGGCGCTGGTCAGTAAACCAATAAAAAACAATGGTAACACAAAGTTCCGAGACCATTTTCTCTGTTCATAAAAAAGTTTGAACCATACTCTTTTTGCCAACTATGATAAGTCTTTCACAACCAGGAAACATAATTTAAAGAGACAAAACTCAGAACTATATCTGTTCATGAGTTGGGTTAGATATTTAAAGAGACAAAACGCTAAATTAAATTTGTTCGTGAGTTGGATTAGATTGAATTTAGTTAAAATACATATAAAATATTAATAAATTTTAAATTTATTTAGACCTGGTTTCGCCTGAATATGAATCTTATTAGCTATTTGAATCTAACCCGTTTTACTATGCGATCCATTTTTTAAACGAATCTTTAATTTAAGTCTAAATTCATTTAATAAACTATATTCATATTTAAATTCTCTCAATTTTTGAATGAATTTTTTAGTTTAGATGAATAATCCGATAAGAGGTTTACTAAGAACACAGAAAATTGAAAAGAATCCAACAACTATAAATAATCTGGACAAGTGTCCTAACCATCTTATGATAATATTTTCTTCTTTGGTAGCAAATAGCTACCTATCATCATGTGAATTAGGTTTGTCCAACCGAAACACACCCCCACAAAAATGGGCTTGGAACTACTCCATATCATCGAATCCACTTTCTCATCATACTCTTTAAACTAATATATAACCATGAAGATCCCTCAATTCTCCATCAAGTCAAATACCGGAAAACATAAAATAAAAAAAAAATTTTCAATCCATCTTGTTGTTTATTTTTGCTAAACAATCTTAAGTTCTTTGACAACCCAAATGGCTAAAACTCCTATACTCACAAGCAAAACATTCAAGGCCACCCCCTACCTGTTATTCCTCGCCATCATCTTTACTTGCGCCAACTCTGCAAGAGTCCTTGATGAGGTGGAAGCTCAACCACAAGTTGTCGATGACATACCACAGCCATCGAACCTGGCAGCACCAACGGTCACTCCTAACACTTTGCCAAGTGGCCAAGTCCCTGATGTCAACCCAAGTGGCCCGGTGGATGATGGTGCTGATCCACCAATTCCTGAAGCTCCTGCTGCTGATGAGGGACCAGTAGCTACTCCTGCAGTGCCTGTTGTTGGTATGGCAGCATCAATAGCTGGACCCGCAGCCACACCAGCGACAACTGGGCAAGGAGTGGCTGCAGCCACAAGTGCCACAATGGCAAAACCTGGCCCACATGACCCTGTATTATCCTTTTTTATACATGACATCTTGGGTGGATCCCATCCATCAGCCAGGGTGGTAACTGGTATCATCGCCAACTCAGAAATCAGTGGCATCCCTTTCTCAAAGACCAACAATGACCTTTTCCCACTCCAAGGTGGAGCCCCACTCTTAAATGGTAACAACATTAACAACCTCATTAACCCCAACAATGTCCCTTTCCTAACAGGCCTAGCTGGTGCCCAAACCAATGCTATACTACAAAACACTGGAAACAACAACAATGTTCTTAATGGGAACAGCCAACCTTTTGTCACAGCCGGACAGCTCCCACCTGGCTCTCTTCAAAGGCTCATGTTTGGCTCCATAACTGTCATAGATGACGAACTAACTGAAGCCCATGAGTTGGGGTCAGCTGTGCTAGGCAAAGCACAAGGGTTCTACTTGGCTAGCTCTTTGGATGGTACTAGCCAAACCATTGCTTTGACTGTTCTATTACATGGAGGTGAACATGGTCATGAACTTGAGGATGCCATTAGTTTCTTTGGTGTTCATAGGACCGTGTCGCAGGAGTCACAGGTTGCAGTGGTTGGTGGAACTGGGAAGTACGAGAATGCCAGAGGGTATGCCACGGTTGAGACTCTTCACCAGGAGGATCAGCACATAACAGATGGTGTGGATACAATCCTGCATTTCAATGTTTACCTTACTTACTGATGATCATCTTGTGGCTGGTGGTTCATGGTTTAGCAATTTGATTTGTGTGGTGGAACAGTTCAATTAAGCGTGGATTTCATGTGTCTTTGAAGCATTTAATATTGAAACTTTAATGAAACTTTTGAGTCTTTTTTTTTTCTTTGGATTGCAATGGATTTGGCGATTCAAGATAAGTACTAAATTAATTTTTGACCTGAAAAATCATGGTAATGTAATGGACTAACATATCTCAATGAATCACTTGTCTAACATGAATATAACTAATACTCTTTCCTCTTTCATTATTTTTTTTCTTTTTCTTCATAAAAAAATTGATTTTCTTTTCTATCAATTGTGCAAAAATTTTTTGAGTGTTATTGAAAAAAATGCAAATAGAGAATGAGATAAACCAACAAATTTGAATTCTTGATTGTTGCATTTTCAATTTATAGTTGATTATCAATAAAAAAATTACAAGTTGTAAGAAATCAATTAATTAGAAGGGGATTTTTTTTTTGTTAAGCAGCATGGGCTTTTAGGTTTCGCCTTGTACATTTTTTCTTAGGACCGATTCAAGTAAATTTATTTATATCAGGTTTAATGAATTCATGAGAAATTAGCTTTCTATAGCCTCTTAACCAATTCGAACTCAAACAACCAAAAGAGGAGCAAACTCTCCTCTTGGCCACTTGAACCAACATTGTTGGTCAATTTTTTATATTTTGACTCTTTGTTAGAGATGAAACAATATTTTATTTATCAGTTTATTAGAGTTGTTTTCTTTTTTCTTTTAAAACTTGGTATAATCAGATGAATCAGTTTCCATGTCTCAAGTTCAATCATCGTCACTTTGTTCTTTTTTATACTAACAATTTCTCACTGCCTTAATTTGCAGCATATCTCCCTTAAAGTTGAACATCATTGTCCATTACTGTATCTTCTGCCAATATTAATCATAAAATAATAAAGAAAGCAACTCGTTGTTGAATAAACTGAAGTTTATTGAATTTTTTAAAGATAAAAATGAGAGCTTGAGAGGAGTCAAATGAGAATGAGTGGAGAAACAAAAAACAGTAAGCTGTTAGCAGATAGAAAACCTCTTTGAAAGATTAGACAAACAAATTGTAAATTTTCCATTCTTTTTCAGATTCATAACAGTGCAACTTTCCAAATAAATCACGTCGTATTTCACTTCTTTTCTAGGCAGCTTGACTTAAAATCAATATTTTTTTGACTCTCAAATCACATCTAATAGGTAACATAAACAGTGAACTCTAGCACTGTCTCAGAGCCATCAGTCTCCTGCTGCTGATTAGTCCCTGGTATGGTCTTAACAATGGCAAAACCTTTTGCGTTAACATATTTTCCAGTACCACCCATGATGGCCAAATGAGACTCCGATACGCCAGTGCGATGAACCCCAAAGAAACTAAGGGTGTCTGCATAGTGTCCACTCTCGAACATGGCTGTAAATGCCATTGTTTGACTGGTTCCATCAATTGAACTAGCCACATAGAACCCTTGTGCCTTGCCAAGGAAGCCAGAGCCTAGCTCATGCCCTATTGTCAGCTCATCATCAATGACAGTCATGGTTCCAAACATGAGCTTTTGGAGTGTAGACCCTGAGGGAAGTTGGCCTCCAGCTGTGATTGGGAAGTTTAGTGCCCCATTGTTCAAGTTGTTGCCATTGTTCTGCAACAAAGCTTGCGTGTTGCCACCAAGGCCAGTGAGCAATGGAACGTTATTGTTGTTTATAAGGCCGGTATTACCACTGTTTTGGTTTATTCCATTGTTCACTGGGAGGTTTGCACCATTTGGCTTGGCAAATGGAAGTTGACCATTGATTGCCGGGTTGCTGACAACACCAGTCACTGCTAGAGCACTGGGGTTTGACCCTCCAAGGATGTCATGCATGAAGAAGGTTAGGGTGTGGTCAGGGTCAGGGTTACCAAGATTGGCACCAGTGGCTGCAGCCACACTAGGTTTAGGTAGTGTTCCTGATGGGGTGGACAATGATGGTACATTAGCGACAGGTGTCACACCAGCGTTGGCCGGGTTTGAGGGTTGCTCATCAAGCATTCTTGCTGAAGTGGAGAATGCAATTGTGAAGATGAGAGATATACAAATGAGTTTGTAGGCTTCCATCCTATGGTTCTGACAAGGGAAAACTGCTAGAAATTCAAGATGATTTGCTTGTGTTTTTCTTGATGGATTGAAGGATATGTAAGTGTATGTATATATAGGTTGAGTTTTGTAGCAGGAGCTAGCCGAAGATATGGAGTTGTTGAACTCTTTCTATTTCTAATGTTTAGTTTAGGATCTCAACTGTTCTGCTTCAAGTTTTACAGAAAGTGGATGAGATGGAATATTTGGAATAGTGGCCTATGGTTTAGCTCACTTCATGGAACCTTTCCCACTTATACCAGAAAGGCTTTCAACTGAAAAATTAAACCAGCTAGAAAGAGAAGTTGATTATTCATACCAAAAACCAGTCAACCTAACCCGAAACTTAATTCAATTAATTGATGCAATCATTTTTAAAAGATGAAATATGACAGATCAACACTTAAAATTCCTGCATCTATTCTTAAGTTGCGACCTCCTTTATATATTCTTTTATATGGACCAAATGAGAGAATATAATTCTTTACTCTGTGGCTCTTCATAGTCATCAATGGCTATCCAAAACAATTTGCCATAAATTGATTAACTTCTTAAGTTACCATAGAAGTATTATCATCCTGTTTGTCAAAAAGATCGTATTATCGTCCTGTAAATAAGATCAGGAGAAAGAAGAAAACAAGCAAAGGAAGAAATGAAACAAAATCAATGACATCATGCTGTGCACAAACAATTATCTTGGAAATTCATGATCAAAGCCCTGTTTTCAAAAAGCGATAATAAACAAATACAGAATGAAATTGGAACACACCAAACTTGTAGTGGTTCACCCTCAACATGAGAGTTACGTCCACTTTGCAACTGCAGCCAGTTTTTCACTACTAAAAAAAAAAAAAAAGAGATTACAACGCATGATATGTTTCTTCACCTCTGTTAATCTGAAATCAAATTCATTGATAATCAATTTCCTGAAGGTAATCTGAAATCCATCCAAGTGTTCAGCAGAATATAATGTCTTTACCATTTACAGATAACATAACTGCATAGAGGATCTTGATCATTGAGCTAGGGAAAGAAAAAGAAAAAAAATGGAAATAACATGGTATTAACATAAAATCTCCATCTTTTTTCATTTTTTTTCTTTTTGGAACCAAACAATTTCAGAAACTAACTTACAGGAATACAATACCAGGCATGGCATCTGCCATCAGCCTAACATATCTATCCACACATCTTGACTTTCCACACCAATGCAAAGAATGAACCATGTAATGTATTTTTAAATCTCAATAAACTAACATGACCAACAAAGTTTAAACCTCACTAGATCAAAAATTTTCCTATATACTTCTCTTTTTTTCTCACTGACAAGCTAATGCAAAATACCAATGAAAAAAGCAAAAAAAAACAAAAAAACTCACTGGTGGTTTTGATGATGCATATAAATATCTGCCAAAACCATGAGGGGAAAAAAGTGGGAAAACTATCTTTCAAAAACTCTCTAGGCTAACAATCTCTGCTGCCAGCTCATCAATCAATGAATTCTCTATTTCTCTACCAATTACCTCTACTTCATATCCTAAGAATAACCATCCATCATCCTTTCCCAATACTTTCTCAGATGAGTCATTTCTTGCTTCCTTTTCATGGCTAACCAAGAACATGTACAGTTCTTCCTCAATCTCCTTTAAGTTCTGCCTATAGCTAAGCCTTCTTGCAACAGGTTTTGTCCACATGGGTTCTCCTAAGCATGGTTGGAGAATTTCCATTAAACCTGAATTCATGCAGTCAAAAAGTAGCCGCCTTGCTGACCTCTTCCCAGGTATCTGTTCACCATACTTCTTCTCTAATTTCTCAAAAACTGAAGGGCTTATTGGGATTTCTGGAGAGTGCCATCCATTAAGGCCTATATCCTGGTTCCTACTATGAAAACCTGCCTCAGTCATTATATCAACCAAATAGGAGAAATCCCTACTCTCTTCAGCTCCAAACAACCTAGTTAAATCTTCATTTACTTCACAGTCCTCCAGAGACTTTTCTACTGCACCAGCATCATCATCATCACTTGACACAACCATTCCAGGCCCTTCTGAGTATCCTTTAAGTGATTCTGATTTTAGAAATTCAAGTTGTTGCCTCACATCTGTTAGAAAACAAGAACGTAAAAGAATTTAGATAGATAAAAGGTGAGGCAAAGAATCAAAGGGTCAAGGAATCCTTCTATCTTACTAACCATGTAAGCTATCAGTGACACTTTGAAAGCATTTAGGGCTCAATAAATTCTCCTCTTCAAATGGTGCTTCCAAAACTGAAACTGGACTAGGCTGATAAGCTGTCTCCAAGTTCACAAGAAAGTCGGGGTCTGTGCCACACTCTTCAGATATTTTCGTTGACATGTCTTCCTGCAAGATTACGGTGAAAATTTAATGAAATCCAATTTTTTGATACAACTGTAGCTCAAAATTGCAGCAGAAAAATTCTGAGAACAAACACATCCACAGAAAGTTATTAAATGTTAGTTGAAAGATGAAACAAGCTTGTGGGATGCCAGATAGGACTCAACAGAATTTCTAAATAAGGATAGACCATAAACAGAAGTGTTCTTCAATGTTTGATCAATCATGAATATTTCTGTCAACAAAAAATGAAACTAATATAAAAGTTAGAATGGCTTCTAATATGAACTGACATTATTGGAAAGGTGATTAGATTGGCTTCTAATAGGAACTGATATTCTTGGAAAGGTGATATCTTAAGTCCCAGCTGCCATGGTGAGAATTACGTTTTGACTATTCATCAATTTCGTTTTTGATTAATCATGCCATATCCTGCACCCTAGTATTACTTCAATTCATTCAAGGTAACAGAATTTTGTTTCTGGACATAAATGAAACCTCCCCCACCCCTTTTATTTTCTCTGCACAAGGTCTCTGTATATAAGAAGGAATTCTTTATAAATTTTAAATTAGTTTACTTATCAATGACAAAACATAGTGTGGACATACACATTAACTGTATTGCACATCCACCTTTTTACTTAAGATACAATCAGGTTGCTTGACATATCAGCTTCAATATAACTTTGATTAAAAATAGTGTCTAAGTTTTTGAGTATTACGTAATACTAGTATTAATCCTATAAAACATATTGGAAACTTAATAAGTAAAGGAGAAGGAGCATCAAACCTGTTGACTCGAAGCATCAGGGATACAAAGAGAAGAATTGTAATCTTTGTCTGACATTGTGCTGCTTGTTGATTCAGAGGCAACACCCACAGTTTCTACAATAACCACCATATCAGAGGCAATGCTTGGAGATGCAGCTGTGCACATTGGTGACTCAGGTACCATACAATCCTCTGCAGACATATTTCCATACTTGATGTCATTCCACTGATCAATTGGGGTGATTTTATTTTCAGAACCAGAGTAAACGACATCATGCTTTAATGACTTAGAAACTATAGAATTTTCATCAGAAGGATCCTGCTTCTCAAGGTTGTTCATGAACATATTATGGATAACAGATTTGTCTTCTAGTGAGTGATTCTTTTCTGACTCTAGGTATAAACTGGATTGAGACTTCTTGCAGATGGATCCTGAGTTTCTTTGTTCCAGATCATCTTTCCCATTGGAACCATGCTTACTTGACTTCAGTCTTGACCAATTAAGAGAAAACATTGGCCTCATAGTCATATACAAATCATCGTGGAAAGCTTTGTGATAGGTCCTGATTTTAGGATTCTCAACAGATGTAGAAAATGCTGGAGATCTGGACTTTATTAAGTCTCCAACACCCCCATTTTTCCATCCATCTCTATTGCTAATGCCTAAAGGACTACGAAAGTTTGCACACTTATCATGGTCAGGCAAGGCAAGCATTTCACCAAGTGTTCTACTTCTGCCCCTACCCCCAATAATGAGTCTGTTCTCTCGAAACTCTTTAGTCTTCCTCCGTCTTTCTGAGATTTGCTTCTTTGCTTCCAGAGACACATATGATCCATCTAAGTAGTAACATGAGGGCTTGAACCAGTTGTTTAAATCAGAGTTATACGGGGAAGAAACCATCATGAACTCTGGCTTTTTTGCAAGACTGTGAACACCACTGAATCCTGGACTTGGTGGCTCCAAAGAAATGTTACTTATGTTATGCCTTGTTTTTCTGATGATTTCCTTTTCAGTTTTGCAGGAAAGGATAGAAATATGCCCTGTGGATTTCACACCATTGGAAAAGTTCTTCAACTCCTTAACTTGAACATGTGAATCTCCTTTTCCATGACTAAGGAACCCTTTGTCTTTCCTATTGCCTGAATAAGAACCTTCACATGAACTAGGAGAAGAGAGACAATTAGTAGTGTTCTCTGCCTCTCTAGGTTTTGGTTTCAAAACAACAATTTTCCTAAAGGAAGAACGTCTCTCATTGTTTGATTCAAGATGAAATCTAGGAACCATACAAGTGTTATCAGGTCCATATTTCCTATGGGAATCTTTTATAAAACAATTCTCAAGTTTTTGAAGCAATTTAGGATTTTCTCTATCAGTTCTACTCTTGTCTCTCTCTAATGATTCTATCACTTCAAATGCATCCTTGAACTCCTTTTGCTCTTCCATGCTGAACCGAAATGAACGGTGTTCATCACATGACCGCTTCTCCCAAACACCTATAGATGCAACTTTACGTAGATAATTATCTGAAAGCACTCTTTGCTGCTTCTGTTTCTTGACAGGTTGCTGATATGGGAGTTCATCAAGACCCATTAATCTTGCAATGACACTTGGTGTGGTAGATTTCGATTCCATGTTTTTTGACATTTCTTCATCTAGTTGAAATGAACACTCCTATAATTCAATAGCATTCTACAAAATGCAAAAATACATCTATAGTCGGTTCCAAAGAAAAGAAAAAGAATTCAATGGATCTACCTGAAACTGACATACTAGCAAAACAAACTAGTGAAACAACTACCAAAATTCATAGCTCCTCAAGAGGAAGGATATAGCTTCTGATTTACTTACCATATATTCCTTTATACTACTCCCACAGCAACAACTAAAGTCTAGCCACCAAATACTCAAATCCAAAAGCTCCCTGCTTCCAGGAAATGCCACATTAATATTCAATAAACAAACTCAAATCTACAAAAGAAAAGAAACTGTGATAACAGTTTTCCATATATGCATAAACTATATTGGATGCTCAGCCTCAACTAATCACAACTAAAAAAGGAAAAAGAAAAGTACTAGGAATTTTCTCGGAAAAAACTTGCACTAGAAACATCTTTGAAGAGTAAAAAAGAAAAGAAAAACAATCATTTAGTCACTGAGAAACAAACTTGATATTTTAAAAATTTAATAGCAAAAACAAAAATTAAAGTCATATGGGCATATAATAAAGTCAGAAATAAAGTTTCTAGAAGACTCATAAATGCAAACAAAGTAAGGCTCATAGCAATAGGCATGCAAGAAACAAAATCATTAAAAACAACTTCTTTTTGGCAAAGTAATAATCAGAACAAGCATGAAAACAAAGTCTAAAGTGCAACCCCATCATTAAAAAAGAGAGAGAAAGAATTTTGATACTAAATCAAATAGTAAAACATCCCCTTCCCCCAACATAGAACCATAAAATTCAATCAATTACTATCAAAGAACAATCACTACCATAAAAATCAAATCATTTACTATCAGATTAACAAGAATCATAGTCAGTGAAACAAAAAAAAAATCATTTAAAAAAATTATGTGGTGCATTGAAAAGGAAACAAAAGAATCCAACTATAACATAAAAAGAAGCAAACATCAAAAGCTTAATGAAATCAAGAAAAACCCAGAAAACAAGAACCAAGAAAGGGAAAAAAAAAAAAGATCTGACCTTTTTTTTCCTAAGAAGTTTTATGAATGAAAATGCTGCTGTTGATTTTGAGTGTTTAGATGCCCAACAAAGCTTTCAGCTAAATCACTTCCATTTCAGAGTGTTTTTAAATTAATTAATTAAAAGGATATTATAACATAAGGGATCAAAATCATTTTGTCTTGCTTATAAATCAAGAAAGAAAAAGACAAGCCGACATCAACAAGTTGGCTGTTCAAAACTTTAAGAAAACCTAGTTTTACATGCCAAAAAAACAAATAATGGTCGGTTTAAAAGGAAAAAAAAAATCTGGGAGAGGGACTTTTTGAGATTGAATCGAAAGTTCAAAGAAATAAAGAATTAGAGTTTTAAATTTGGAAGAAAAAAATTGGTGATAATAATTTGATGATTCGAAGAAGGGGGAGAAAGAAGGAAGAACAAGACAAAGTGGGAAAAAGAGTCAGGTTTTAGTGGGGACATGTTTTCGCGTTGTTTTGCTGTTTCGAAACTACGCGCGAACATGAACTGTCGCTTTTTGCGTATTTCGCGCCAAAAAAAACATTTTTATTTTTTTATTTGTTCGTAAGAGGTTTTTTTTTAATCAATAATAGATCTAATAATTTTTATTATTACGTCGTGTAAAATATTATATTTATATTATATTTTATAAAAAAGTTACGTGTAATAATTTATAATAATATGAAAATATATAATATATTTTTTAATTTTATTAAATCTATTTATAATTTTTATTAAAATTTTAAATGTATTATGTTAGTCTTCTTTATTTATATAATTTTTGTGTAATATTATCATATTATGTTTCATATTGTCAATTCTAATCATGAGTTTCTATATAAGTTATAGATGAGAATAGTAGTAAAATACTTGAAATTATTTTTTTAGTAGGAAAAGAGATTGTTAAATTTTGAATTATAAAATTTTTTTATGCTATTTTCGGAAGATAATTGTATAAATAATTAAATTAAATTTTAAATTTAACTTGTAAGCATATTATTTCTATTTCAATCTTCATTTTTTGTACATTACATAAGTTTTAACTCAATTAAGAGTGGTTCTAAATGCATTTTCATTATTTTATTTATATATATTTTTTAATTTTTTTCAAATAAAATTACTTAGTTATCTTTTTTATTTTAATGTTAAAGCATTTAGATATACATTTTCAACAAATTATATAATTTATTGAAAATACATTTATGAAAGCTTTAAAAGAGTTACATTTAGGTTTGAGAAAAAAATTAGTTGAAAAAAAAATATTTTATAAAAATTTTAAACAATTGGATATGCAAATTCGAAACTTTAAAAAAAAATTTGAATTTACAACTTAAAAGTGGAAGGGAATGTTAAGAGAAAAAAAAGTAATTAAACAATTTCATTTAAAATTAATTTAAAATAAATATTAAAAGTAACAAAAAAAAGGTAAAAAAAGAATCGTTTCTCAATTAATTAAGGATATAATATATTATATACAATATAATTAAGGATATATATTATATATAATAATATATATTATAATATATTATAATATATTATAATATATATAATATATTATATATTATATCCTTATATATATATATTATATAATATATTATATAATAATATATTTTTTTACCTTAATTAATTATATATATAAATAATATATAATAATATAATTATATTTTTTTACCTTAATTAATTAATTAAGGATATAATAATATATACAACAATAACAAACTAACCTTTATATTTTATAATTTTAGGCTCGATTATATAAAAAAATAAAAATTCATATTAAGTCAAAATTAAACATTTTTTTTACTATTCATTTTTATTAAAAATAATTTTTTCATATACTTTATTAATATCATATTATTTTTATTTCTTACATTTACGTATTTCGTAATCTAATTTTATAAATTTTAATCTCTTCTAAATTCAGAATGCCATCAAAGAACAATCAAATCATAGAGGTTGCTTTGATTTTTTGTATCGAAGGCAAGATGATTAGTGAGTGAAAGCAATAAAAATGAGAAAAAAAATAGAGAAAGTATGTCAATGAATCGAAATACTTGTCAAGCTTACAAAGTTGATTCGACACGAGTTAAAATTTGAATATGAAATTTAAAATTTAAATTCAAGAAATATTTTAAAAGGAATTAATGGAATTTTACAAAGAAAAAAAAAAAAACAGTACATGCGATATTTATTCCACTTTAGAAAAAGCCATGAAATGAAAGGCTCCTCCACATTGCCTTTGGCTTTTATCATTGTGGAAATGGAGAAATGTGTGGTGTTTGTCAAAGAAATAAGAAAAAATGATGACAAAAGAATTGATTCTCCGAAGGAAAGATGACGATTAGAAAATTAGAAACAATTGTACCTAACTTTCTGCATGGACCATTTTTATTTTCCATTCAATTGTGCCTTTCTTACAAACAAATTTCAAACTTTAACTAAGATCTTTTGGTAATTTGAAATTTTTCTTGTTGCTTTTAATATCGTTGCTTTCAATAAAAAATTTAAGATTTTTTTTTCATGATATTATTTAATCTACAAGAAACAATAGTGGAAATCAATTGATGTAATAAAGTTGTAAAATTTGATGTCTTTTTATTTTCACATTAGGTGATGGAATAAAGTATGGAGCTTTCTCGAGGTGTAAAAGCTTTTACAAAGCTAGAATAGACAATTGTTGCTGGCCCCAATTTAAATTAAACAACATGGCCTATTGACCATGATGTTTTGATCAATCAGGTCCATAAATATCGACACTCCTAAAATCTTGGAGTTTGTAGTACTATGCTCAAATACTGCTTTCAGTATGCTATTTATTGCTCTTTGCTTCCCCAAGCACTTCAGTTACTACTATTAGCATCTGAAACCAAAAAAGGTTCAATCTTGATTGCCAAATCTTTCTCAAATGGCTCTGGAGATCTGTGTCAAGGCTGCTGCTGGTGCCCCTGATGTTCTTGGAGACTGTATGCTTTCTCTGTCTTTCACCTTGTCTTTGTTAAATTTCATCTTTTTCTTTTTTTGGGTGATTTTGTTTCTGGGTTTTGAATTTGGATTGAAGTTTTTTTTTTTTTTGCCTTTTTTAATGTTTTCCAGGTCCATTCTGCCAAAGGGTTCTTCTTACTTTGGAGGAAAAGAAGGTTTCTTACAAGATGCACCTTGTCAATCTCAGTGACAAACCTCAATGGTATATATCAGATAACAAAACATGTAAACTTCTACGTAAAATTGTGAACTTTGTGGTTTTTTTATTCTTTTTTTGGTGGTGATGGGTTGTTTGGAGTGTTTAGGCAAATGGGTTGCTGTAAATTTGTGAATTTTCATTTGTTTTGATTTTGCTAGGTTCTTGGAGATAAGTCCAGGAGGAAAGGTACCAGTGGTGAAGTTTGATGACAAATGGGTGCCCGATTCTGATGTGATTGTTGGAATTCTTGAAGAGAAGTACCCTGAGCCTTCCCTGAAGACACCACCTGAATTTGCCTCTGTGTATGCTACCTCTCGCCTTTCATTTCTTAGAAAAGTTCACTAATCATTTTGTTCTTGAAACCTCTCAGTTGATTATTAATCTTTCGTCACTGTGTGACTGCAGTGGATCAAAGATATTTGGAACTTTCGTCACATTATTGAAGAGCAAGGATGCAAATGATGGATCTGAGCAGGCTTTGCTTGATGAACTAAAGGCATTGGATGAGCATCTTAAGGGACAGGTAAATGATAATAAATTTGACATGCCAACCATGTAAGTTGATTCTAATTTATTAGAATATGCATCAGGGTCCATTCATTGCTGGGGAAAAGATCACTGCTGTTGATTTAGGTTTAGGACCAAAGCTCTACCATCTTGAGATTGCTCTCGGCCATTTTAAGAATTGGACTGTTCCAGAAAGCTTGACTCATGTCCATAATTACATGAAGGTTTGCAGCTGTACCATCAATCAACATTTTTTCTGCAATTTACTGCTTTTTTTTTCCTTCTTGGAAGCTTGTTTTGTTGATTTGTATTGGTTTTTGTCTTTGTTTTATCACATTTTTTAAGCTTTTTGCATCATAACACACCATGATTAGGAGTAATGCAGTATGATCATACCTCACTGACTATATACACTACAAATGAACATAATTCTGACTATATAAATTTTTGGCTTCACATAATGGTTTTAATTGATTGATGCTCAATGATTTGGGGCGATCTTTGTCCTGACTTTTTTCTTATTAATGAATATTTTCAAGTTTTCGCTGACTAAATTTCGGAATCATTCTCTCTTCTTTGTTGCTACTTGTGTACCTTTAAATGTCTGTTTGCTTTCCTGTGTTCATCTAATATTGACTCTATATAGAAGAAAATTAGACTTTCTACAACAATAACAACAAATTAAGCCTTATATTAGCTCGTAGTTTTAAATTTTTTTGTCACTCATTTCTATAAAAAATAACTTTTTCATTTATTTCTTTAACCGTGCATCATTTTTTGTTACTTGCAACCCCGTCTTTCTTTAAATTAAACTTTCTGTTGACTAATGATCAAATATATTTCTTGTATCTTATATTGCAGTCGATTTTCTCTGGGGAGTCCTTCGTGAAAACACAGGCTGCCAGGGAATACGTGATTACCGGATGGGCGCCTGAGGTCAATGCTTGAATTAGTTCAAAACTATTAAGGTTTTGCAATCATTTAGCATGAACTATGAAGTGGGTGAGACCTTATGTAAAACCTGATGAACACTGGTTGCTCCAGTCATCTAATAAATGTTTTAATCTATCTGTAGTCCAGAATACATACTATTATCGATTAGTAAATTTTGGTCTGAGGTTGAATTGTGATTACTGATTAGCGTCAATTCTTCTTCTTCTTCTTTCTCTGAGTATGTATATCAGAGGGGTGTGCTTGTTCGTGGGAGATATTTTCTTCTAAAGGGTTAATTTTACGAATGGTGGTTGAATTATAGATCACTACGATATTTGAATTTTAAAAATCTCTAACATGAAACTATAATGTATTAATTAATATGATATTTAAAATTAAATAATTATTTGTTCGTTATATATTATCATTTGAAATTAATTATATTAAAAATTGATATCTTATTAGTCAATAAATTTATAATTTATATATCACATTAGAGATTTTATAGAATATTTTACAATAGTTAAATGTCATTGTATGGATAACCCTCTTCTAAAAGATGGTGGAGTCATGGAAAGATGAGGTCATTTCACAATGCTAGTGTCGGTATCGAGCATGTCTTGTATTGATAACGTTTCATATGACAATTCCAAATAATAGTTGATTTTCAACCATATGAAGCTGGATATGGTTCCAACCAGAAACAAATATAAGATCATTTTTTAATCGTTTAGTAGATGCAAAATCATTGGGTTAGCCCTGACCATTACCAGTTCCCACAGCCCACGAACTGCAAGCCCCTGTCCCAGCCCCTGTTTTAAGTCATTGCACCAAACTTCCCATTCATTAAAGGACCCGATAAGCATTGGAGGCTTTCAGACCACTGACTTCTCCAGGAACCTTGACATCACCTTCACATACTTTAATGAAGTATAAAATTCATGACTGTGACCAGCCATATATACGCCACTCCACCAATACCATCCGACAAAGCAAAGCCAAAAAAAATTTATTCAAAGACAAAGGATGGCACTGAGACACATACATGCTAACTAACAAGTTGAACAGCAAGGCGAGATCATTTTCCATGGCAATATTATTCATCGGTGTCTTTAGAGGAATCAAGACCATCTTCTGGATCAGATCATTTGACTTGTCTTTTGCTTTGAAATTGTGCATAGGCTTCAAAGAATTCCTTGTTTTCCTTTTCAAGCTCATTCCAAACTTTACACAATTAACTTGTTACATATTAACCATGATCATATGACGTAAAAACCAAGAGAAAGTAAATGAAAAAATGAACCAAGCACAGATTCAAGCTAAGCTGATGATTGAAGAAATAAAATGATTGGAAGTTGTACTTCTGTAAAGGAATGTTGAAATTTTAGGCCAAGATTAGACCCTGATAGTTTTAGTGGTGTAATATTTGGTTGATCAAAATTCGAAAGTGATTCAGGATCATTAAAAGAGCCGACCTTAGGCAGAGAATGTATACTTGGATTTGACAAGATTTCTCCTGGAGGCTACTCAGCTTAACTTGATCAAAGGTTGTCTCAGATGATCACGGTACATACGAGGAAGCAAAAGTTAAAGCAGAACCTTACGGTAATGGGGTTGGTTGAGTAGGTAAAGTTCAAATACTTCGCTTGTAAGGCCTAGATTCGAGTCCTATTGCCAGCAGTCGTCTTAGTGGACGATCTGTAAATCCAAAAGGAAAACAGAACCCTACTTTGGTTGATAGATTCAACTTGCAGTCTAGCTTATTACTAGGCTATAAGATCAGAGGTTGACTTCTTGTTGGGTTGATAGGGCAAGATCAGAAGAAACGATGAAACCACGAACAGCTCAAGCAGAATTCTAAATGAATTGACAGGGTTTCTTTTGAAATCTAATTCACCAAGTTCTATATCTTTATGTACGTGACTGGCTATAGCTGCATCAGAATCTTATTGAAGATCATGATATAAGCCAAGCCAAAACCTGCAAATCATGTCCGAGACAGTTTCTGTTGCAGGGTTTTTGGAATCATCCAAAAGTTCTCATGGTAGAAGTGATGACAGCTTTCTTTTCATGGAGGGAGATTGAAAAAGAAAGAGTTGGAAAAGGAAAACCAACCAGTAGAAGTGATGACAGGTTTGATGTTTGCATGCTTGGAGAGTGCTTCCATGCACTCTTCTTTTGTCATGTTGAAGATCAAACACTTTTCTATCAGATAATGCAGCTGTCAACAACATCAAAAATTTGTCACCTATTAAACTGTAATAATAATAGACTTCATAGTTATAGAACCTACAAGCTAGCATCTCAAATATAGTGTAAATCACCATGTGAATATATGATGCAGAAGAATCCCCCATGATTCTTCTGATCCTTGTTTCCTGAACCAAACTCTTTCTTTTTTGCTTGTATAATTTGATGATAAAGGGAAATGAGATCCTGGTGCAATATGATGGAGCAAACTTTGGGGGGTGCACAAGAGTAAAGTATAGCAACCGAAAGAGGGGGAGGCCAGAGGGGATGGGTCAAGGAGTCCCACGTGGGAGATTGGTGATAATTGGCCGAGAGGGGATTACAAGTAGATCTAACAATTTGTATATTTGTATCTTGTTTACGTGAAAATGGTTAGAAAAATTAATTGATTACAAGACTATAAGATATAATTTGTGGATACTTGATCTTCTTGTGAACTTCCTTGTAGCCTTCTGATTAAGTAGTTGGGGTTGAGCAATTCTGAACCTCCAATCACGAACGAAATGGCTTTAAGACGTGTTATAGTATACAAAAGGGCGAATCGAAACTCTTTCAAAATACAATGAAGCATTGTTTGTTTGTGCTTTATACTAATATAACAAACCACTAAACACATTTTAGTAGGAATGGAAAAACCTGGTCTTTGCAAGGTTTGTTGCAGCAGATAATGCTAAAACAACTTACCGTTAAGTGAGAAAAAAATAGGAAAAAGAATAGAGTAATTCAAAAAATGAATTACATATCAAATAAACTCATATCAATCTCTATTTATAAAGTTTGAATTTTAAGATGATGATTATTAGATTGTGTTGCTTTAATTAAAAATCATTTTATTTATTATAAATATTCATTTGAATAATCAAATGAATATTTATATTTTCATATTATTTAAAATGATAACTTTTATATAGAGTACTCCATTATCTTAAGAAGATAGTTGATTATCTCTTTATATTTTTAATTTTATAGTTGATTATCTCTTTATATTTTTAATTTTCAAAATATTTTTGAAAGTAAGATAACCCATTCGTTCATAAAATAATCAATTTTTTAATTTAAAATACATTCAACAGTGAGCAATTGATTGTTTCATATATAATTTAAATTTTTTAAATTTATGAACTTAATATGTTGATTTGGCATATGGAATCAACCATTACAACTCTAACACCATAAAAAATTATAACAAATGTTAAAATTTTCAATTTTCAAATTTGGTTATCATCAGTGATGCCCTCAACAAACGTTCTACTCGTGTTGTTGATCTTCTTCCTATATGCTAGAGATTAGCTGTCAGTCTTGTCGTTTCAAAAGAATCAAAACTGTACGTAGAACTGCTAAATCACTCATCCACAGGAAAAATGTAAAGAATTTTGTACAAACAATTGGAGGTTTACCCCAAATTCTAAGTGAAAATGGCAAAACTGTATACAAATTTCCTGTTGATTCCTCAGTTGCAAACAAAGTGTCAATTCCAGGAAGACTACTTCTGTTTGCTCTTTTTCCTTATCAGGATCCAGCTAGAATGTGCCAAAGATTAGATTTTTTTCATTAAAAGAAATGATAGATATATGTGATAGCAATCCAAGCTTCTTTAAATCAAACAGCAACCTTTTTTCTATATTCACCTTAGCAAATTTCTGTCGGTGTGTAAGATGAAATAAATATGATAATTTTAACCACAATGTTTTTACACAATATAAAAATTATATGAAAAATATATTATTTAAAATTTTAATAAAAATTATATATAAGTTTGACAAAATAAAAAAATATATATTTTGTGCTTGATGTTAGACATGAATTATATATAATAATTTTTATATTTTACACGTAATTAATATAAAATAAATAGAAGTGAAATAAGAAGAAATAAAATAAATGGACTTGTATATTTCATTTTCATATTCCTTTTTTTTTTCTTATATTTACCAAACATATTATCACACATCCACACTTACATAACGTCGGTGCAATGGTATATCTCATCTTTTAACTATTAGTACTTAAGAAAAATGGAAATCTACCCAAGAAAAAAAATGGCAAAAGAATTTTATCTTTGGGGTAAGCAGAGTTCTTTGGCACATTCTCTATTAATGGAAGATACTAAAACTAAAGCCACCATGAACATAGGAAATATGCATCTTATTAGAACGTAGAAGCAAACTCAATTATCCATGGAAAGTATTTTAGGCAGAAATCTGAAATTTGAATAATAATATCTGCACATGCATTTTACACGTGCAGATGTTGCTTTTTATACGTGCGAACGAGTGCGTCACGTGTTACATGCACATACATATATGTGTCTTTTCATATGGCTCAATTTTCCAACCATAGAATATGTTGGTAGAAACAAAAATAACCAACAAAAATATAACATTATAGACAGACCTTCATACCTCCTGGCTGCTGCCTACAAAGCATGTGCTTGTGCATGTTCAGGTTTGTGACTGAATTCATAATCGAGATGAACAAAAGCACGCTCAATCTCAGGCAGTAGCTCGAGCTTCTCCTGCAGAGATTCTCCGATATCGTGAGCTTCTTGCAATGGCATGTTTGCTGGGAGTACAATATCAACCTCCACAAAGTAGTGAGACCCAAAGGTGTAAGCTCGGACTGTATCGATATGTCTTATGGCCTTGTGGTGGTTCCAACAGAGATAGGTTAGTTTCTGAAGATATTCTGGAGCAGCTGATCTTCCAACCAGTGAGTTCACATTCTCTAATACTGTCATTGACCATGTGCGGATAGTGTACAACGCCAGCTGCAATATCCAGGATTATATCGCAAGTCACAAGTTCGTGCTAACTTTTTTTCCGTTAAATGTGATTGTGAATTATTGATTCCCAAAAATCTACAATCGGAGCATCAATTTTTTTGTTGTATATATAAGATTTTACTTACAATGATAGCTCCAACAGGGTCCATCCAATTGTCAATGTAATTGGCAAGTAGCATAGCAACAAGGCCGATTATGTTTGTGATAACATCAAAGAAATGATCCTGAGCATAAGCTTTAACAATTTCATTGGTGAACGTGCGGCAATAAAACACCAGGAAAAGCTTAACCAAGGTCACTCCAAGCATTATGCCTACAACCCACCTCTCTTGCTCTTTTGTCAGGTTGAATTCGTCCTCCTAGGCAAAAGAAAGAAACATGTCATTGTCATTCCAACCATATAAGCAGTCATCTTCAAATATATTAAAAGATCTATTGAATGGAGAAGAGAACTTTAATGCATAATCAAAGTTGACTCACATCTGAAACCAATGTTCGTACTGACTCCAAGATTATCTGAAGTCCAAGAGTTGCCATGACAGAGGCAAAAACAAGGATGCCCTGCAGAAAATTTACCAGTTTTAAGTTTTGATTGTTATTACATTTCAACAGTTCACAACATTAATGCATCTTATATAAAACTTTGAAACTTTATTTCATGAAAATAGAGACAAACCAACCAATACTCTTACTTCCATGGCTATGCAGCAGCAGAAGATGCATATGAACATGCACAAATATAAATACAATGATGCATATATATCTGTATACCTACGTCTAACATGCATGCATATTTCCAGTTTCCTATCTAATCACTAGCCTTTCAGTCTATGCTAATATTAAAGCATCCTCACGTGGCAAGATTACATGTGTCCAAATCAATGTTACAGAGGCATTATCAAAACATCCACCATATCAACATGTTTTATCGCTTATCAAAGAAGTAACTTCAACAACTAAGATCTAGAATTGATTATAAGATAAGACCCTTGGATGCCTTCAGAAAATAAAATGCATCCTAAGCCTAAGGTAAAAAAACCTGCTTAAATATGATAGAAGTCAACTAATATGTTCATACTCCAGCTTCTTGCCAGTATAATACAGGAGATAATAATCTCTCAGTTCACTGTTAAGTAATGGATTATCAAGAGTTTCCTTTCAGTATGTCAAACTCAGATCAAATGCTGCTTCAGAACCAGTAGATGCGGTATTACCCTCCCCTTGTAGGAATTATCTAAGTTGCTAAACATTTTTTAATAAACATCTTATATACATGGTGACTTGAGATAGGTAATCAAATGGATTAATTAATGTCTGTTATTAATAGAAAAAAGAACTCAAAGATTTAGAACTATCCTTAGAACATGCAGATTGGTAATTTAGCTGACAATGTTTGCCAATATTGTGGTATAAATACAGAACACATTTCTTGCCAAATAATTGGTATTGAAGAAAAGATCAGTCCACAAAATGATAAAAATGAACAATGAAAGTACAGCAGTTAGATGCACCTTAGCTAGGAAATGCTACTTCGTTCATCATGCCCTAACACTGATCAGGAAATTTATTACAACAAGGTATAGCAAGAATACTGACCAGTGGCTGCATTCTTTTCTTTCCAATTGGGTACTGATACGGGTTTGGTGTTGACATGGAGAATGCAGTAAACCATAGGATGAAGCCAGACAGAAGATCAAGAAGAGAGTCTAATGTGGATGCAATTATAGCTAATGAGCCACTTCTGATGGAAGCATAAACTTTAGCAGCAAAAAGAACCATATTTGCAAAATTGGAAATTCTAATGGCTAGTGTCTCACTTCTAGCCAATTTTTCCTGCTCCTCCTGCCAATCAAAGCAACAAAGTTCAGTCTATTACTTCTTCAAGTACACAAATTTTATAATCTAGAGAGAACACAAGACATCACAGTAAACCTTTGACATTCCAGGAATAAATCCACGCTCAGCTAAGGCATCCATTTCATTAAAACCCTCAAGCATTTCTACCTGGTGCTGATAGTATTCAGCCACGTTATCTTCTGGACCTGAAACCATCAAAGAAAACTATTAAGATGCATTCTTGTAACTCATTTAGTTCATTTGCAATTGTTGTGTCATTTGACGAATAATTCAGCATTTGTGGCACATTCACCAAAGAGCATTTTTCTATGCTATATATGTAATCTCCGATTCCAACTAAAGGATTTTGTCCACTCACTTGGTTTTCCACTTACTGCAAAACTATCATACACAAAAAGGTAAAGAACATGTTAGCTCAACACAACTTATGCATGGTGAAAGAAAATGCAAAAATGCTTAGGCTCCATTTGGTTGGTGCTTTTGCTTTTTACTTTTTGCTATTTGTCCCTTGTCTTCAGTTCATATTTTATTTTTTGCTTTTCACTCTCTATTGAAAAAGCAAAAAGCAAGAAGCAAATGCACCAATCAAATGAAGCCTTACAAATTTCAGAAGGAAAAAATTCATATAAATGCCATATACATCCTAAAGAGCTAAAATCTCCAGTCTTTCCACAGTAGAGCTAAAAAAACAAAGTCCTAAATATTTTATAAATTCAATATATACACGGTTAAAGTAACTCCACAAACAAGTCTTTTATATTCACACACATATACATGCAGCTTATATATATATATATATATATATATATATATATATATATATATATATATATATGAGTGGGGATCCACTTGTAAGTTTTACACTTGATTTTGACCTTTGGATCAAAATTAAATTCATGACGAATTTGGATCTTAGCCATTTTGATCCAAGGATTAAAAAAAAAGTGTAAAACTTACACTAATATAAGCGATCTCTACTCTACATATGTATATATGGAAAGAAATAAAGGCAGTAAGAACCCAACTGACAAAGTTCACTTCACTTGATCAAGAAAACTGGCAATTTTACCAAACTTTCCTTGCAAAACTTTAAACTAAAGCAAACTTCCAACACAGAAAAAAACATAAATAAACAAGAAATCATATAACATCAACCTCAAAATAAAGCAAATCTAACTGTCAATTTTCACTTTATCAAGAAAATTAGCAAGCTTTTACCATAACTTCCGTTCAAAACCTCAAACAATAAAGCACACCCCATGATTAAAACAACATCAAAAAACAAGAATTCCCATACCTTTAATCACATACCATAGTTTACCTCATAATACAAATCTAGAGCTCAAATCTTAAGACCCAAAAACACAATCTTTCTCTCCTTAAATTTTTTAAAGTTTTGATGCTTAAAAACACTGAAGAATAACTCAAACTCATAGTAGCCATACACAAAGAATAAATAAAAAGGTAAACTTTCATCAAAATTGAAAAAAAAAAAAAAAAAAACCATTTCGGTAAATTCACAACCAAGCATAACAAAAGATCGAATATTGACAATTAAAGCTAAATAAATAAATCCCACATACCCAACAAAACTAATGAACCAAAAAAAGTTTTAAACTTTAATATAAAACACAAAAGGGGAAAATAAAAATGTGACAACCCAAAGCACTCCACAGACAATAAACAAACAAAAAAATCCATTTAAGTAAATTCAAAATCAAGCACAAAAAAGAGTAGAATATTGGTAATTAAAATTAAATAGACAAAATCTCGGATACGGATATCCAACAAGAAAAAGGAATTGTGGAAATTACCTAAAACCCCGAGGCAATCATGGAGGCTACGAGGAGGCTTTTTGTCTTTGTGTTCAGAAGATAACTGGAAACCCTCGAAGTTCAACCGCCATGAGCGGTCACCGTTGCTCTGATGTGGCAAAAGTGACAGCTCTTCGTCGGCTTCACGCGCCACCGTCTCTAGCATTTTTCAGCTCACCCTTCCTAAGGAAAAAAAAAAGTTTGAGATTGGTTTTCCCCTTTTATTTTATTCAATTAATCTGAGGGGTAGAGGTTGGAAATTTTAAGGAAAGGCTAGGGCATTTCGGGAATGTGAAAATCTCTTATAGGCCACAAAAGTTGGTTGTGAGTGGAGGGAAGATATATAGAGGGTTGGTATACATGTGGGAATTTGAAAGGACACTTGGACGGTAGAAATGGAATCAAATGTAGGTATCACTAATTTCACGGAAGTGAATCTCGGGAGTATAGTGACCTGAGCCACGTGATTCTTCGTAATCTTCAGATGAAACTCGTTCGGTGGGCCCAAGTTTTATCCACTGAAAATGATAGTATACGATTAACGATCCTATAATCTCAGAAATATGATGAACTGTCAATTGATTATTGGTTGATGAATGACTTTTTAACCAATAAAAAAATGCCACGTCTTGCTGACATTGGGAGATACCACACCATAAGTTAATCAATCGAAAAATTTTTGTTTTGCTACGATGGAACTCTCAGTGGGCCCTACTTTTGATTAATCAATGAATTAATTATTGTTTTTGTATTTGACGGGCAAAGAAAATAAATTTTAAATTTGGGACCACAACAATTTCATTCTTGTCACCCTTTGTTTTTTGTTTTATTTTAAATTTATGGAGAAGAAAAAGTGTCAAAACAAAGAAACTGACATTTGAAATGGTTAAACCAATGAGACAATGAAACTTCTTTTTTATTTAATTTTCACAATGATTATTTTTGACTAGTTTGAATGCGCTGATAATCTTTGACTACAGGTACTTAAATTGGCATTTTTTATTTAATTTTAATTTTAATTTTTTTTAATTGCAAAGAGCTTTTAAATTTTGTTCAGATATATTTTCTCACATAAATTCAAATAAATTTATTTAAATTGGATCCCATAACTTTATAAAAATTTATCTTCTCAAAATCTTTTATCAACATCTTTTAGCAAATTTGAATTTAGACAATCAAACTGCATTTAGTGAAAACAATGACTGTCAATATTTGCTTTTATTTTTTTAGATATTAATATCTAAATTCATTTAATATTCATGATATTTAAATTTATTTAAATATAATATTATTTATTTAAATATTTGAATATATTAAAATATTCTATTACTTAATTCTTTTGTTAAAATATAAAATAAACAAACATTAAATTTGAAATTCAAGCTTATTTTTAATTAATAACAAAGAAAGATTATTTGTTAAAGTTAGATATAAAATCTTACGGTTGACAAATTTAAATATTCATCATTACATATTAAAATTTAAATAAATTTAAATATTAAATATTAAGAAGATACTATTTATATCTTATCTGAATCCATTATAAATAATAAATTTATTATCAAAATCCATCAATTATTTTTTTATAATTATTTGAATCTAACATAAATGAATAACATAATAACAAATATCTAGTTATTTACTATTATAGTCATCCCTATGTCATTGGTATTTTAATCTTTACATGTATGCTTGGCAAATATAAGTAACCCTTTTAAATGAGTGTTTATTATATATATGTAAATGATTACATGTTAATATATCAGGAAAATAAATTTTGACTAATTTAATTAAATTAACTCAAAATTTAAAACTAACATGGATTTTTTGGAAAAAAAAAAAAAAGATACTTCCAACCACATAATTCATAGACTCGACATATTAATAATCCATAGGTAATAACAAACTTATCATATAAACATGTGACTTCACTTTTTAATAATAATCATCTTATCATATGATAATTTTTTATTTTTTTATTTTTTTGTCAAAATGAAAACAAAATTAACATCATCGTCATCATCATCATCATATATATATATATAAGTTTTTTTTTTCCTTTTTTATTAGATACATATAATTATGGGTATCAAATTAACCTTTACTAAGCACCATATCTCCAATAATCAAGGGAATTAAAAGCAAAGAAGAAAAAGAACAAAACACAAAATTGAATCCAATCTTGCTAATTTGATATTCCATGCTTTTCTAGTCAAGTACTTGATTCCTATGTATTTCTTTTTCATTTTTTTTTTTTTTGTTATTTCCTTTGATCTTCCATACTATTAGGGTTTGATTCTTTGATATCATTTTCACAACTTCACATGATCATGGCATATGGCCTTTTTGGCATATTTGAACCGTTTTGGAAAAGCCTTGATATAATAACTCACTTTACAATTGAATTTTATAAATTAAGCACATATATATATATATATATATGATCTAGCAAATTTGATTCATATCATTCTATAAACTTTACATGATCATATATAGAACATGACATTTATGAAAAGTATCAAATTAGGGTTTTGTTAATGAGCTCATTAAGGGCATTGGTTAGGATATTATTGATAAGAGTATGTAAATAGGTAATTTGATATTTTTTGATGCATTGGATAAAATATAATATTACTTTTAAAAGTATTTTATTATTTTTAAATTACAATTTTTTTTAATAAAAAATCATCGGTTAGCAAAATCCTTCAAATAATTAAACCCAATATTGTTAGACAAACATTTATCAAAGGAGAAGGATATGACATGATTGTGGCTCGAACTTTTTTTTGGTGAATATTAACACAAAAAAAGAAAAAGGGAAAGGGAAGAAACTTTATATATTTCCCATATGGTTATTTCAAATCAAGAATTTATAAGAGAACATATGTATAAATACCCACAATCATAGTTGGATTTGAAATGTTATGCTAAAAATATCAAATTCAATTTAAAGCTATGCAACTTTTGTAAGACAAAAACAGTTATGTGAAGATTTTTGGGTATTAATGTGAAGAATGATATCAAATTCTTTAGTTTGTTGAGTGGTGCATGCCTGTCATAATAGTTTTGTGTTCACCCGACGAATTTGAAAACGAAATAAAAAAAAAAAAACTTATCATATGAATGTATGTGACTTCACTTTTTAATAATAATCATTTTATCCTATGATAATTTTTAATTTTTTTATGAAAACAAAATTAACATCATCATCATCATCATCATATATGTATATAGAGTTTTTTCCCTTTTTATTAGATACATGTAATTATGGGTATCAAATTAACCTTTACTAAGCACCATACCTCCAATAATCAAGGGAATTAAAGCAAAGAAGAAAAAGAATAAAACACAAAATTGAATCCAATCTTGCTAATTTGACATTCCATGCTTTTCTTTTCTAGACAATTACTTGATTCCTATGTATTTCTTTTTTTTTTTTGTTATTGCCTTTGATTTTCCATAATATTAGGGTTTGATTCTTTGATATCATCTTTCACAACTTCACATGATCATGGCAATATTTGGCTTTTTGGCATATTTTGAACCGTTTGGAAAAGCCTTGATACAATAATCACTTTAAAATTGAATTTTATAAATTAAGCACATATATATATATATATATATATGATCTATCAAATTTGATTCATATCATTCTGACAAACTTTACATGATCTATATAGAACATGACATTTATGAAAAGTATCAAATTAGGGTTTTGTTAATGAGCTCATTAAGGGCATTGGTTAGGATATTATTGATAAGAGTATGTAAATAGGTAATTTGATAGTTTTTGATACATTGAATAAAATATAATATTACTTTTAGAAGTATTTTCTTATTTTTAAATTACGATTTTTTTGTATAAAAAAATATCGATTAGCAAAATCCTTCAAATAAGTGAACTCAATATTGCTAGACAAGCATTCATCGAGGGAGAAGGATATGATACGATTGTGGCTCGAACTTCTTTTTGGTGAACAATAATACCAAAAAAAGAAAAAGGAAAGGGAAGAAACTTTATATATTTCCCATATGGTTATTTCAAATCAAGAATTTATAAGGGAACATATGTATAAATACTCACAATTATAGTTGGATTTGAAATGTTATGCTAAAAATATCAAATTCAATTTAAAGCTATGCAACTTTTGTAAGACAAAAACAGTTATGTGAAGATTTTTGGGTATTAATGTGAAGAATGATATCAAATTCTTTAGTTTGTTGAGTGGTGCATGCCTGTCATAATAGTTTTGTGTTCACCCGACGAATTTGAAAACGAAATAAAAAAAAAAAAACTTATCATATGAATGTATGTGACTTCACTTTTTAATAATAATCATTTTATCCTATGATAATTTTTAATTTTTTTATGAAAACAAAATTAACATCATCATCATCATCATCATATATGTATATAGAGTTTTTTCCCTTTTTATTAGATACATGTAATTATGGGTATCAAATTAACCTTTACTAAGCACCATACCTCCAATAATCAAGGGAATTAAAGCAAAGAAGAAAAAGAATAAAACACAAAATTGAATCCAATCTTGCTAATTTGACATTCCATGCTTTTCTTTTCTAGACAATTACTTGATTCCTATGTATTTCTTTTTTTTTTTTGTTATTGCCTTTGATTTTCCATAATATTAGGGTTTGATTCTTTGATATCATTTTCACAACTTCACATGATCATGGCATATGGCCTTTTTGGCATATTTGAACCGTTTTGGAAAAGCCTTGATACAATAACTCACTTTACAATTGAATTTTATAAATTAAGCACATATATATATATATATATATGATCTAGCAAATTTGATTCATATCATTCTATAAACTTTACATGATCATATATAGAACATGACATTTATGAAAAGTATCAAATTAGGGTTTTGTGAATGAGTTTATTATGGGCATTGGTTAGGATATTATTGATAAGAGTATGTAAATAGGTAATTTGATATTTTTTGATGCATTGGATAAAATATAATATTACTTTTAAAAGTATTTTATTATTTTTAAATTACAATTTTTTTTAATAAAAAATCATCGGTTAGCAAAATCCTTCAAATAATTAAACCCAATATTGTTAGACAAACATTTATCAAAGGAGAAGGATATGACATGATTGTGGCTCGAACTTTTTTTTGGTGAATATTAACACAAAAAAAGAAAAAGGGAAAGGGAAGAAACTTTATATATTTCCCATATGGTTATTTCAAATCAAGAATTTATAAGGGAACATATGTATAAATACTCACAATTATAGTTGGATTTGAAATGTTATGCTAAAAATATCAAATTCAATTTAAAGCTCTGCAACTTTTGT